GCACACGTACACGGACGCATATACGGAGCTTTCCATTTCCATATGCTAGCAAACGGCCCACCTCTCTCGCCTATGAAATTGACCCGCGAGCAATCGTCCATTTTGTTCGCCGGCCGCGGCAAGCCGTATGTCCCGTCCGTCGCGTCGCGCGCTCTAATTTGTCCAACTATTTTTATTAATATCTCGAAATTTTACGTGGTTGTTTGAAAAATGACCTCTACAATTTTTGTTCAGTTTTATCTGTTCTACTTATATTTTTCTTTTGGCATGTCTTATGCGGGACACCCTGTATATATATATATATATATATATATAGTCTCAATACCTTTATATTATAGTTTTTTAAAACTGTTAACATGTTGACTGTCATGGGAATTATCGACGATATATTGCTGCATCTAATTAATTTATGTGTAAGATATAATTTTACTACATATAATAAATTAAATAGTCAACAGACATCTAATAAAACGAGCTAATAAATATATGCACGGTAGATTTATCTAGTAAGTAAATCGTATTGATTTACCGTATTATTGACTACTCAAACCGTAATTAACGTATCTGCGACCATTGACGTAGTACTAAGCTTTGTACATTTCGTCAACGGTCGCAAATGTTAAACTTTGAAATAATTAGTGGAAATCAGCGTAGCAGTCAACGTGTCAAATAAATATCGATCATTATGAAACTACTAAGAAGTGCATTGGTCGTCTATGGTATACATAATTTTATCTAAGGAAAACTTTTTCCGATACAGACACGGTTATAATTACCTCATTACAATTTCACTTGTAACTTTTCTCCACTGTCGCTTTTAATGCTCTGACTATACACAGTGGACACAAAATTTCCGGCCTGGAGGTGCGAGAAAACATGTTTCCTAAATATTGCGACGTACACGGAAGAACTAACGACGGAAACGTCAGCAATTCAGTCTCCATTGTCGGGATTATCTTTGTGTTGTACACAGATATCGGAAAATGATGTCCACAAGTGAATATCATACTATCTTCTTCCGTCATAAGCAAACGATGCACAGCATCCGAGTCCTGATGAACATGATAAGTTTCATGTAATACGCAGTATCAGCCACTGTAATATTCTGTGAAAAAAAAAATCAATCGACAGAGTACCTTAATATGTGCGAACAATCTGGTATCTTCCATTTCAGAAAATATCGTACTGATAATTCCTTCCATCATCTGCTCTGGGCTATTATTTTCACTTGCACCCGGATATCCGTTCAAAGGTGCGCCGTAATGGTCGGCCATTAAACAAGAAAAGATTTTCATATATTCGGGCATAATCTCATCTGAAATGTAAGTAATTATTCGTTACGCCAATTAAATACACATTCGCATTATTTCGTGAGTTATAAGTCGAAATAACAACCTTGATCTATATGTTGCAACAACAAGGACAGTACTTGAAGGCAGAACTTGACTGAGAACAAATCGACTACGCAGAAACTCTTGTCATTCGTATTATTGTATTTATTTGCGTCTAAGTATCTTCCTATCGCGTTTTGACTAGAAAAAAATATCATAGTGAAAGAAATTATTCACAATCTTACTAATATAATCTTATTAATTACAATTGTAATGCACAGGAAATTCACGAATATAGTAATATTTTACCGTAAAATAGCACTAAAAATACATTGCGTATATGATGCAGCGACAGGATGGTGTATGATGATCTAACATCAACTTACCAGAATAACAATAATCCAAGTGGATAATAAATAATATGTATGTGTTCAAGGAAAATATTCTCCAAACTCTGCATTGGTAAGTTGTGCTCAACCCAGAAATCAATAGCGCTTTGTAGTAACTCACATTTCGAAGTATTCGTTTCATTATCGATGTTGCTTAAATAAAATTTGAGCGCTTTAATTGTCTCATTAATAATATAATTTCTCTGTGAACGCGACGACATTTTGTCGGAGAGGACATTCTTCTCCTTATACGTATCGGGCTGATCCATCTGATTGTTGTTCATCGCCATCGTATCCGTGCAGATTGACCGAGTTACATTTTGTGCAGAGCTGTGCGCGACATTTTTACGCTGCGGCAGTAAATCGTTTTCGTTAAAAATAAAATTCTCGACCTGCTTTTGTTGCTCATCCTCATTCGCGTTAGATTTGACGTCAGAGTAATCCGCGTCTATGTTCGCGGGCGGAAGATCCTCGTTTCTCTGATTTCTACATAATCCTTCCAAACCTCCTTGACAGTCGAAAGTGTACAATTCTTGCGTGAGCGCCTGCAGATTATTCAATGATCTACTCGTTGGAATTCTTACCCAACTTCTCGCCACACTATCCTCTAAGGATTCCATGAGATTCTTCTCCGCTTGTTTGTTAAATAATTCAGTATTCTTCTTGATATTATGCGACGATATTGATTCCTTTATTGCGTCTACATTTTGCGCAGTAGTCTTGGCTGTGGACCCCAATGTTTCATGCGGCACTTCCGTCATTAAATAATTTGCAGATGATTGAAGACTTAATTTGTGCAACATTTTCAATTGATAATTAAAAGCAGCCAAAATATTGCCATCTAACGCAGCTATTTTAGAGCAAGCTTGATAATTTTCCAATTCGATACACTACAACAGAAAGAAAAATGCAAAGTTATATTAAAGTAAAAATGTTGAGAGGAGACACTTATAAAACTCTTGTACTGCTACGTTTCCTATGATTTTATAGTTATAAAATGTAATGCATATACAATTATAAAATGCAATTCTAAAAATAGATGTAATTTAAACAACCAACAAACCTTCTCCATAATACTAGCAGAGCAATATAAGCCATAGAAATGCTCCAGGACATAATGAAGCGTCAGTTCCCCTGGTGTTTTTTCAATCACGCTCAAAGGACAAACGAATCCGGCGAGAGAAGACATGTCGTTGATTTGATAAGATATTACCGGGGTTGAAATACCGGGCACTTGACTAGGAACGTCCAGAACCACATGCATTGTGTGAGGAAGTCGCACTACTCGCTTCGACGATTTCAGCAACACGAGCTTCTCGTCGGTCTCGCGTGTCTCTTTCGCAGGGATACGACCTAATTGCGCTCTGCTATTGTTACCCCAAGCTAGTACTGTACCACCTACAAAATCACATAATATTATACTTATCTGTATTTATTATATCTATCTATCTTATTCTTATTATATGTTATAGTCAAAGCTCGTAGCGCGGGCTTCGCCCCATTTCATTAAAAATTTAATCTAATCCTACCCTACAATATTGTGACAATATTAGTTGTTAGTAAATATATATTTATGTACATACATTTTAACACCAACGTTCTCACAGTACTGTAGAGTAAGATTAGGTTAGATTTTTAGCGTCTGAGGAACTCAGTTAAAAATATACTTTTGACATTTGTTAAATACGATATCGAAGAATTACGTTCTATGAATTACGTTTTATGAAATTTCTTTTGTTAATAACTTTTTGATAAACAATGAGTGATGGCTAATATCTATTAAAGGTTACTCAGAGGACGATAATCTTCACAATATATTTACAATATAAGAACACAGTCATTGAAGATGCCTCTCCTAAATAGGAATTTTACTGTAGCTTTTTTTAGTTTCTATTAATCTTGACCAGCCATGCTAGTCACTCCTAGAATTGACTAAAAGCACATTAATCAAAAGCCAAAACATGAAAGTATTTTGGGCTTTAATCAGAATGCTTGATTGTTTCACACATTGACTAGTTAATTCTAGGAGTGTCCACGTTATAGACTTTAACTATACACACAGATACACACACATCTTATAAATTATCTTATTAAAAAAAAAAAAAAAAAAAAATATATATATATATATATATATATATATATAATCTTATTATAGCTATACTTTAAGAGTTAATATAAAACAAAGATAATTATTATATTCATAAATGTTATCTAAATTCTTAGTATATATATATATTTTTTTTTTGTAACCTGGTTGTATTGCGACTGTATAATCGTATCCACAAGCAATCGCAACGGTATTGATGATAGGATTCATTCTCTCTTTATTCGGTGCAACGTGTTCTGTGTCCGTTGACTTCGACGTATTAGAGAAATTTCCATTAGCTTCAGATACATTCCCGTTATTCAACGAATCGTTCGACTTAGCATTATTATCAAAGTCTTTTTGCATCCTCTTACAATCATTATGTCTAGGAGGTACTTGTGCAAAGATACAAGCTGAATTATAATACAAAGGTGTCGGAATTGACACGTCCCGTCTCGTACCGTTACCTATTTGGCCATCAAAGTTACGACCCCATGCATACAGAGAACCATCTTTTGTTATCAGCGCATTGTGGTGGCAACCGGCAGATATCTGAGAAATAATTACAAATTGTATGTTATTTACTTTACATAAAACGAAAAATATAGTGAAAGAGTAAGAGAAAATAGTGAGAAAAAATTAATGGCGAATATTTCAGTTCATTTGAGCAACATTTAATTTAATCTCACTTTTACATGGATCTAAAATGTTATAAGTTTTTTTAATAAACCTGAGTAATCTGTCCTTTCACCAAGCTTGTATCCACTACAGATGGCTTTAAGTGTGTTTGATCTTCTTCGATAAAACCGATATTCAAATTCCTTAGATTTGCATTCTCAGATAGTTTCTTTTGTATTTCTACGTCGGAAGTAATTGTTTCTGTTTGTTCCGACTTTGTTTGCACGTTCTCTTCCAAGAACTCCTTCATTTCTTCATCTAGATTTAGGCTGCTGTTTGGTATTTTCTCTAAATCTTCTAAAGTTTTCTTTCTTTTCTCACTAGCATCTTGTTGCTCTAGTATACGACTCTTCTTTTGTGCTTGTGCTTGTAATCTAAGAGCTTGAGGACTTGCACCCCATGTATATAATTTGTTCGTATTACTGACAACTAGCTGTAAACACAAAAAGTATATATGTGAGATTGCTATTCATAGCGTTAAAGGCTTAGAAAGCTCGGTTACTTCAAAAGCTCATTACTTTCGTAACGAACAGTGAGAAGAAGTATATCATTTTTTCACTTACATTATGAAAGTATCCAGTACTTATAAGTCTTATTCCTTCCGGTAACGACACTTTCATCGGGATCGAACTTTTGTTGTTGCTACCTAATCCTAATTGACCCAGTACATTACACCCGAAAGCGTATACAATACCGTCTACAGATAATGCCAAGGTGTGCGCGTAACCGGCGCTGATATGACACACAACCACACCGAGCAGAGATGTAACTAACATTGGTATACTTTTTTCGTCAGTGTTACCGTGGCCCAATTGACCATGAACACCCCAACCCCAAGTGAACATTCTGCCGTCTGCGGTCAGTGCTACCGAATGATATTGTCCAGCTACCGCGTCAACGATTATCTCTTGTGCCAGTGAAGTAACTAATTCTGGACTCGAGCACTGTAGTACCTTTCCGAGACCTAACTGCCCAAATTGACTGGCTCCCCAAGCGTAGATTCCGTTATTAGTGACTGCCAAGGTGTGACAATGTCCGCATGATACACTAAAGACTTCTATGTTCATGCTTCGGAAGAAACATAAGGCATGAGGCGCACCATACCGTAGCACGCACGAACCAAGACCTAGTGATTATTAATTAGAAAAATTAAACGGTCGAGAAAAGAAATATAAAATCAGATAAGAGAAGGAAAGATAAAAAAGAAGATTATGCATACCTAAGCAACCTTGCACCGAACTACCCCAAGTATAGATATTAGTATTTCTAATTAGAGCAACATGAGAAAATCCAGTGCTTAGTATTCTCTTCTTAAAATTAACATGCGGTGCCATCTCCAAGTGTTCCTATTTAAAAGATATAATATTATAATTATAGACATAATAAATGCAATCAAATATTTCACTTGGTATCGCCACTTTATATCATAATGAAATGGAGAAAACTATTTTGAATTTTGTAATTTCTCGAAAAGAAAAATTTTGTTCTACTATACCAAATAAGAAAATTGAAGTATTACCTTACTTATCTTTGGTAATTCTCTATCATATAAAAAAATGGGTTTATAGTTCGGATTTAATACCCGCTTCTTATGAATAAGTGTCAATAGAACTAATGTAAACGTTTCTATTATCTCCTCTATAAGCGTATCCGGTTGATCCTACAAAATCGTTTCTCGTTATCAATAAGAATGTGTATATATATATATGTATATAAAATATATATGTCTGTAATAATCGTATTTACAGTATTTTTAAATTCTCAATTCTTCAACTATTTCCAGTTTTTTTTTGACAATTTTTATTCAAGGATACATGTTGCACCCCAGTAACTTACTACTTACAATATTATCCGTAACGTCTATAAAATCACATTGACTAGATAGTCGACTATAAGATGTCGCTCTATGGCGTTCTTTACATTTCATTAGTCTAGCTCGTAATACTGGACTCGTTGGATCGTACAGTGTTACTAATCTCTGTAAAATATATCAACGTGTCAAGTATGATGTTTTGTGCAATTTGCGAAATCGCTTGGAGCTTAATTCTAATGTGAAATTATATATTGACAAGAGCGCAGATTTTTCAAAAGCAGTCGAGAGTTAAGATTTCTTACCTGAAGCACAAAAATTTGAGAATCCCGCAGATTATTACGTACGAACGACATGTGAGATCTAGCTAAATCATGGTTCAATAACATCGCTTGCATTAGACCAGATTCACTTAAACATATGAGTAAACCATCTAAAATAGAAGTTTGTATTAAATTCTGTGCATTAATATTACTTAATTGCTTGTAACTGCCTGAGAAATATGCATTCATACGTGTATGCGGCTATGTATATGTACACATTACATGATTTTGAGTGAAAGTCGTTCGTGCCAAACGTTTGCACCGCTTTTATAAGAATATCCAACATCTGGCCATATAGACATCTCTGCGTAGCTAAATGATGCAGCACTTCCCAGAGATAAGTTTGACCAGCTACATTAATAGCTAGCAACTCATCGTAAAACGTATTCGTGGATAAAAAGTATCTATGACAAGATTAAAATGGAGTATCAGCAAGATAAAATGTAAGAAAAAGTATGTTTAATTATCTTTGTTAATTTTGAAAATGTAATAAGATGTAAGATGTATATTGTTTAACGTTATTATGTGATTGCATAATGAGACATGACTTACAAGAACTCTTTGTATATTGCTTTAGATTGCTCGGACCAAACCCTTAGAGTCATCTCGATAAACGCAAGTACACATAAATTGGACAAATGTATCCTAGTGGCAATATGCATTTCGATAATAGCTGGTGTTAATAAACAGTGAGTAAGACAACTCAATAGTTCTGAAGTATGACCAACTGATGCGAACTTTAAAACACTTTTCAATAATTTACACTGAAATAAAGATAATAAAGAAAAAATTAGTACTGATCACAATTTAAATATCTTTGATAAGTTACATTATATATTCTTTATGCATCTTACAAAATTTACAAGGACATCTACTCAGACGAGTCAAAACGAGGCTTAATTTTGTATATTTTTACTTAAAAAATTTTAAAATATCTAAGAAAAGTAAAATCGACTTTTAAACCCGTCTAAATAGATATTCCTTTCTCTAAAAATTTTAAATTACCTTAGAAATTTTATAAGAAGTTACTGCACGTGAGAATTCCTTATTCGACAAAAATATATCGCCAGCATACTCCAAAAAATGCTGTCCATTTAGTCCAAAGATTGTTGCTAATTTTCCCGCTTTCTCCAGTTCATTTTTTTTCAATATTAGTTCCATGAAAACCGACAGGAATGATTTTCTATGATGAAAAACATATAAAGAAAAATGGATAGCCAAATTTACATAATTTATTTAGAAAGTAAAAAGAAATTTTAGAGTACTGACCTTAAAATAACTTCATATACACAACGATCTGTAACAATTATGCAGGCATCCAAAGTGGGTATTTCTATTTTAGCGTCCTTTGCATTCTTTGCTAACGTACATTTACTTTCAATTTCTTGAAAGACTTTCTTCGATATTATATTATGAAATTTAGTTACTTTATATACTGCGCGTATCACTTCCTTACAGTTTTTAAATGAAAAAACTCCGACTATGGACTCGGAATTAAACCCGCAGTCTCCATTTATATGACTCTCAGATAATTGGTCGGATATTATATATATCTCATGTTGACTAATATCAGTAACAAAAAAGAATTTGTGCGCTAGTAAAATAGTTTCACAAGATTCGAAAACTTTATGTATCGATAAAGGTACCGCAGCTAAGTCTGGACCGTGTACCTGGTAAACAGGTATATGTTATATTATTCGTAAATCAATTAGCTAATGTTAATAAATATTGGAAATTTATTTAGAGAAGTATATCTCTTATGCTAATTTATTATAATACTTTTATCTTACTGTGATATGACTGGTAAGAGGACGATAACACGTATATAATTGCCGACCTTCTCTGTCATATTGTGAAGAGAGGAAAGTATCTTTCAGTATCGGTTCTGGGCCAATAAAACCTAGCTCTGATTCTGATAATGTTTCTGCACTAGTGGAAATTCCACTACCATTTGTTTTATTACTTGAGGTATCTGTAATATTAATATGTAATCACAAAATATATTAATCTTAATTGATTATTAACACAGACGTCAGAGCAGTTTACCCTATATATTGTATATATGCGTGTCTCGGTGTCTGTGGGTTAATATTTAGTATTCTAATAAGTGAATATTCTAATAAGTGAAATATATTTTAAAAAACTAAGCGATCCCATATATATAATTAGGACATTCATTGTGCACTTACCATGAAATTGTAAACTATTCTCTCTCAATGTTTGATTTTTAGTCTCAATTAACTTCTGCTTAAGAATTGTTAATTTTTCAACAGAAAGCTGTTTGAATTCTTGTAACTTAGATTTACTAGGGACAGATACTTCTATGTTATCATAAATAGTGCTGTTTAAGTTTACATCATTGTGTGGCTCCTTGCTTTCAAGATTGTTTAAAAAATTATACGTGTGTTGCTCCAGAAGCAAACGCCACTGTTGTTGAAATTTATTAGTTATCAAGAGAGATGTATCCTCATTGCTTTCATTTTGGCAGACTTGTAAACTGTTAATACTTCCATTGATGTACATTACACCTGCTTGTTGTCCATTGGAAAGATTTATAAGTATAATTGCTCCACACTCAGTTCCTACAATAGCTATGTCAACAGACAATTTTGTATCCTTCCACCATGTAATAGCAGTTGGTCTGAAAATGTGAAAATATAAATAACTAGAAAAATTTTGTTTTCCTATCATTTATATTAATTATATCAAGAGATGAAAGATAAGTTCTGTTATTTACATAAAGTCAGTACCTGAAATGAGAAAATTGAGAAGTCATAAAAGGAATATAAGTCACATCATCAGTCTTCCATTTCTTGTTGATAACTTGACTTTCTCCAACTAAAGCTAAAGCAGGAATTATATACAATGAACTATCTAGTGTTACACATAATAACCAAGTACCGCATGAGTCAAAACAAAAAGCAGCAATTTGTTTATGTGGTGCTTGAAACCAAGGTATTCTTTTAATCACAGGTAGACAAGACGATTCTCTTTTAAGATAGAGAATAATGTCAGAATTGTTAGTTGCCAGAGCTAAAAACAGCTTCCTTCCAAGTTTGCATTGCACGCTATGCTGTATTTCAGCAGTTTTAATTAAACATTGTAATTTAAATAAACTTTCATCTGTCGTTATTGTATTGGAATCCATATCTGATCTGTTGTTTTCTGAAATGTTAAACACATTTTAATATAACTATTTGCAAAAATATAGTTTACTTGACGATTATCAGTTGTGTCAATAAGTAAAATATATATAATATTAACTTCTTTAATACTGTCAAAATTATTATTAACAAAGCTTTTGCGAAATATACATACCAAATTCAAATAACGTTATTAAATATCGTTATTTTAATAATGTCAAGGTATCAAGAAAAGTCACGGGCAACACACGCATCTTATGTCAGAGAGAGGTGGGACTACGGTGAGCTGTTTAGGTTGCGTTCCATTTCACACATTTATACACATTTTCTACAGTATACGTGACAAGAACTATAGATAAATGCGCGAATATGAGTGAAACGGAACGCGGTTTAGCTGATTCCTTAAAGTCACTAGATATAAGATTTTCTATTGCTGAACTGGCTGCACTAGTTCTCTCTCATCTTTCTTCCACCAAATGTTATCTGTATATCTGTCTCTTTTTAAATTCCGAAAGTGTACACTAGTTCAGCAATAGAACAGACCCACATTATAGATGTAAATAAAAAGTGCCAAGTAAGGCTACGTCGGATGGTAGATGGCGTTGGGGGCTACGTTGGAAACGTCGCTCGAGTACTTTACCTCTCTTTTTATCTCACTCTTGTATTTCGCTCACTCCAACGTAACAGGACAGGGGTGAGATTTTCGACGCAGCCGGGGTTAAACGTCTGGAGCCATATATTGAAGGAAGGAAGGCTGCGTTCTCATGGTAGATGGCATTGGGGGCTACATTTGGAAACGTCGCTCGAATACTTTACCTCTCTTTTTATCTCACTCTTGTATCTCGCTCACTCCAATGTAACGGGACACGGGTGACATTTCCGAACGCAGACGGAGTCAAACGCCCGGAGCCATATATTGAAGGAAGGAAGGCTGCGTCGGAATACACACTGTGTGCACACTACTAGACGATAGCCGTTGGAGTGAGCGAAATACAAGAGTGAGATAAAAAGAGAGGGAGAGTACTCGAGTAATGTTTCCGAACGCAGCATATGTATCTCTCTAAAAAAAAATTTACTTTGATAATGTTCATAAAAAAGTTATTATAAAAATATAATTATCTGAAAAAATTTTAATAAATAACGTTGAGAAGAAATACAACAAACTTTGTAAAAATTTAAAACGTATTATAAAAAATAATATATTATAAAAATATATATAATAATATATTATAAAAATATATCATAAAAATATTATAAAAAAGTTGTGAAATTACTAATGGCCATTTTCATCACCTCCGGTTACCTTAACTACTGATTAAATGTGCACGGTGATTGGTTAATCTTGTTAAACGACAAGTACGATTGGTCAGTTCTAACGGAATAACTAGCCGGTTAAGGTAACCGGAGATGGTGAAAATGACCATAAAAAGATCAAGTATACAAGACATCCTATGCTTTATTAATGCATTGTTTTTATATAATAATAGTTTTAAAAAATTTAAAAATAAAATAAAAAAAAATTAAAAAATGAAACATAAAATTAAGATTTAGCATGTTATGTCCGTGATCATAACTGAATTACACTGTTAGTTTATGGCCGGTAACGGCGACGGCGCGAAATAGCGATAGCGACGTTTGCGCGCGAGACGTACGAGCGTCGCGGAGTTTTCAAATCCAATCCTTAACAAATAGGAAGAAAATTTTTACAGAAAAAAGAGATAGAGGGAGAAGTATATCCTTTTATTGTGAAGCAAATGTTTTATATTTTGTTATGATTATGATAAAGATGCTAAATAGCGCGCGTGTAGCGCGCGCTTGTAATGTTCTAGTAAATTATAAAATTAAGATTTAGGCAAAAAGATTTAGCATATCTTTTTTTGACTTTTGTTTCAATGTATCTAATGCCTAAGATGTTAAATTTGTATCGTAAAGTACGTTGGATAAACAGCTCGGAGTTGCACCCACGTCTTTTTAATGAATAAACATATTAAAATGTAAGTAATGTATTTCTAAAGTTTAATAACGATTATTACTTGTAAATTTATGATTTTATATCCATTGCGGACTATTTATAAATTGCTCACGATTAATTTTCATGTCACTTATTATTGCTGTCTGCAAACATCAAAGTGCTTCGGCGACTCAATAAGCAAATAATATTTAAAAAATATTTAAAAAAAGCACTTTTAAAACGTTAAAAATAATGGGATAAGTTCTTTTTTTCATTAAAAAAACGTTTTTTTTAATGAAAAAAGAGAACTTATCTCATTATTTTTAACGTTTTAAAAATTTTTTTAAATATTATTTGTTTATTAGATCGCCGGAGCGCATTTGTGTTTTGCCGGAGCGTTTTGATGTTTGCGGACAGCGATAAGTGACGTGAAAATTAATCGTGAGCAATTTAGAGATAGTCCGCAATGGATACAAAATCATAAATCTATAAATAACCTCTATATTAAGTTTTAGAAATGTATTATTTGCATTTTAATATCAAATTTAAATCGCGGGGTGCGTGGAGAAAACGGCTCGGCGGAGTTGCATCCGCGTTTTGTCGAAGCGCTCAGATGCGTGCGGACAGCGTTAATAGCCGACGTACAATCGTGAGCGATTCGGGGATAGTCCGTACAGATACAAAAAGCATGAATTTACAAGTAATTTTGATATTATTCGATTTTAGAAATTTGCATTTTAATATAAAATTTGCATGAGTCAATGGCTCGGAATCAGTTAGTGGAATTGCATGCGTGTCTCGCTGGTGCGCTCCGGCGATACGGCCAGCGCCAGTAGGCGACATGAAAATTGATCGTGAGCAGTTCCCAAATAGCACACGATATTTCATTTAATTATATTTAAATGTCCTATGAAACAATATTCGTTCCATATAAAATATCCGTTCTTAGGACATAGGAAATCCTCTGGATCTCTAGGATATTCCTGGGAGATTTATGTTATTGGGATTGTTGCGAACGAACGTGACAGAATCACGAATTAATTTTAACCACGTTAACAGAGGGCTCTGCTCCTTTCCCTAAGCTACAAGTCCCCCTTTATTTACTCACGAAACGCAAACGCAAGTTAATCCCTAGCATGCGGAACGCAATATTTCGGAGCTTATCCGAAATTAAAGCGAACGTGATCGCAAACGATTACAGATTTAAACCGCAAATAGAGTAATAAGTAACTCTGAATTGTAAAATGATAATGATATTCTCATATTCTTTTTGCTTCTATTTTGATTTGTTTCCATTACATATAGAGTTTGAGTCTTAGAGAATTGCAATCGCCTCCAAGTGCATCCATCTACTTTAAAGATCTCTGGGATCTGTAAAGTTCAAGGTCAGAGCGATTAATGTTGAACAATAAAAATTGATGGTATATTTTTTGGGATATTAAGTTCTCTCTTAAACCTTATGTCTTTAAAACTTTAAATCCGCTTAAAATGACATAGAGCCCCGTTTCAAAGACCGCAGCTGTGGGGAGAGCGGCTGAGAGCGCTAAGCCCGCAATTTTTATCAGCCCCGGAGAGCCGGGAGTGGATCCCGATATGAAAGCCGATATGGGATCCCTGCGGGAGGAGACCGATTGCGTAATAAGACAATATAAGTAGGCCACGACCGCGAAGGAACGCGTCTTTTGTTCAGTGAGTCTTGAACTACCAAGAGAGAGCAAAGTGACGAGCAGCCCGAGTGAAGTTAACGATTGGGACTGCCGCGAAGCTACGAGTACTCCGGTATTTGCGAGTAAGCGTGTCGCGTGCGCGGCGCTAGGCAAGGGCCAAGTACGCGGACGAGAGAACGACAGGGTCGCGTCGCAAGGACATTGCCGAGCGAGACCCAGTGGGCCGGAGGGACAGTTGATCCGAGAGAGCGAAAGAGCTGCGGAAGGCCATGGCGAGCGTGAGATGCGGCCGAAGTGATGGCTCCGACGAGTAAGCCAAGTGAGCCCTTGTCCACAACAGACTTTGCTTTAAGACGTAAGCTGTAAGAAATTAACCAACCACAGTCGATTATTCTTCTAAAAGTCAACCATGGTTGGTCAGTTTCTTCTACAGCTTATGTCTTATCTTTAATTTAAAAAAAAGATCGATATTTTCAGCCATTCTTGAGTTATCGTGGAAAAAGTAGCGAAAAATGCTGTTTTGAAAAATAAACTACCAACTATGGCCGCGTTCCATTTCACGCATATGCGCGCATTTATCTATATATCTATAGTTCGTGTTATGTATATTGTAGACACTGCGCGCATAATGCGTGAAACGGAACGCAACCTATTTCTACTACCGACCGACCGACTGTTTTCGTCTTCTTTGTTGTTATTCTTATATTTGTTAGCAGTAACTTTCACACGCTTATAGCTTTTGTTTTCTAAGTAATAATATTATTATTTCTAAGTTTTTGAACCATTATTACTGTTTATCAGTTTGTTTTAAATAAACAATATCTATATTTCTTATATTACATGATCGCGCGCCGCCTCACATTTTTCGCTCTCCTGAACTCAATTTTGCGAATATCCACGTTCTTTTTGCGCCAAAATGTCCTTAAAGAGTTGTACTAAACGATTATGTAAAAACCCAAAGATTGATTTTTTGAAGATTTCAAATCGTTCTAGTCTCTTTAAAGCAAGGTTGTGGACAGTGACTCATCTATACTTTAACGTGTAAGCCGGTGAGGCGCATTGCGTTCAAGTATCCGGGAGCCAAAAAATTAGTATCGACCCCTTATTTATACCGGATGAAGAGGGGCAACGATAGAAATGGGATACATGGGCAGAGAGAGCAGGTCTTAAAGGAGAGCAACCTTTGACTTTGAGAGACTAACAGCTGTAACATTTAGTACAGTAACAATGTTTTTCTCTGTATTCGCCGTGCATTCGGGATCGCGCCAGAAATGTCGTTTCCGAACGGCATCTCTAAGCGTTATTTAAGGAGAGGAGAATGTCGTGAGCGTGGAGCGTCAGGTAGCTCAGTGGTTTAAAGCAGTCGCCCGGCAAGCGAAAGATACGG